ACATAGCTGGACTGAATTGGCATTGTCTCTTGGAGTTCCTTGGGCTAGGCCTGACAGATTCTCACCTTGGCCTGAGCTTGGATCCAAATTTGCCTCTGGATGGGGTTGTATTTCCCCTGGAGCAGGACCTCAATTTGGGAGTCCTCCCAGACTTGGGTCTCCTGCTAGAGCAGCAGGGGCAGCTGTGGGGCTTGGGAGGACTTTGCCTAGCTCTGATTGGTGCATCAGTTGCAGGTCTTTCTATACTGAGATGCTCTAGTCCCATAACACATGCCATCACCTTACATATAGACTACTGTAACATACTTTACATGGGGCTGCCTTCAAAGATGACTTGAAATCTTTGACTGGTCCAGAATGCAGGGGGTAACTTGCTAATTGGGGGCAGCAAATTCAGCTGTGTTGTGAGGATTGAATGTTTGTTGACAGGATCAAAAATGGTAGTAAAGAAAAGCATGCTTCTGCTGTGGGACAGCCCCCCAAACAGCAACTCAAACAGGATCTGGAGTTGGGGGAAATGATCATCACTCCCCTGTCATGGTCACACCACTTTCTGGTTGCTTTGGAGTGTACTAGTGCTGCTCCCTACTGCAGGGAGGCTGGTGTAAGAAAGCCCCAGACCCAAAGACCGCAAACCAGACTCTCATAATAGTTGTCATGCAGCCAGGGTTAAATACGTTGCAAGGTGCAGCCAGTCTGAAAGGAGAACTTATCCAAAGTAGACAGTTTGAGAGGAGAAGCAGCCCCAAAAGGGAACTGCTGGAGTGCAGAAAAGGAGAAGTATCATAGGGGATGGAGTGAAACACAACTGGCTCAGTTGTACATGCATGTCTGAAAGGACACGAGGCCAAAAAAGTGCCAAATAAGTCCAAAAAGGAAAAGGGCCTTCCATCACAGGCTGTGGACTGCAGGGCTGCATATAAAGGAAGACAGAACCAAGATGGAACAGAGGAGCTTCAGGATCTGACTTCTTCAGCACCCTAGGGCAGTGTTTCTCAACCTTGGGAACTTTAAGATGGGTGGACTTCAACTCCCAGAATTCCCCAGCCGGCATACAGCTAAGCTGCATCCAATATAGTTTAGCTTCTAGTAGTGGCTGTATCTTCAGAAGGGGACTCTCCTGATCAATATAACCAGGAAGATTCATAGCAGGAAAGTTGCTCACCACGACTATTAGGGTTTATTATTTCCAAAGATTAGTTTCAAGTGAGCTAAGTACACTCATCCCCCTCTCTTTACTCATTGATACATATTCTGGTTATTACAGATACATAACTGGCTCCTGAGTGTCTGGGGCTCCCCAAGTGAAGCAGTGTGTCAGAGAAGCTATGCAATGGCAATTCCTGGAGGACATTGTCCTAGAGAAATGAGCCCTTTCAGTGTTCTGGATCTTATATTCTCCACTCTGTGCTGATGCTGCCTTCAAGCAGGTTGCTTCGCCTTGCTGTATAGTAGGGGCACTCTAGATAAGATCTACATAAATGGATTATACTCCAGAACATATGGGAGCCGCAGGTCCATCATCTGTTTTCCATCTGGATGAAGGCCATGTCAAATACATCATGCCAATATTATTCTTCATTTATGGTAGGATTTTTTTTCCTGGCCTAAATGCAGCACATTTGATCTGTTGGCTTCCTGTCCAAAGAAAGAAGGCTCACTGGATATCCATAGCTATCTATCCCAAGTCAACAAAAGTGTGCCAGGTTTCTACAGAGGAAGGCAGAGATAACATTGACAAGGGAATACAAGAACCTTTAGCAGATAAAAGAGACAGTACGGGACCTCTCAGCCCTGGGAAAGGAGAGAGCGTGAAAGAAACGCAGAATAACCCCACGCTGATTCTGTATGATAGAAGCGGGTGCAAAGGGAAATGGGCAGGCTTTCAATTCTGTCATTATACCTGACAACAAAAAGTAGAATTCCAATAATCATTGACATGTCTGTTTCCTGACCTTGAAGGGCTGACAGTTTCATAGTGTTCAACCAAAGTGTACAGTTTTAGCTTTACCTCTTCCACTAACTGGAAAAAGGATAAACTGAACCGACTAGGTAGAAATCATAATGCCAAGTACACATGTTTTTAAAAACAGAAATTTATTTCCGGTTTCATGTATTTTTCTGAGAGAGTGATCACAAAAGTGATAGGGGACTGAAACTCTCTTCTCTTTGTCACCTTCTCACTCAGTTCTTCTGATAGCAACATCTGCAGTGCTTCAGATCTGAAGTGCACCTAGCTGCCTATAGCCAGAAACTGAAATCACAACTGGCAGGATTGGAAAAGAGGCATCCATCTGGGCGCAGAGGTGGAACTGGGGACACACACTCAGCCAGCAGTGGCAGAAGCAAGGTGACCCAAATAAGCTACACACATTCATGACTAGAGCATGGGGTGGGCTGCAGAAAAGGCTTTTGCTCTTCCTTCTACCTAGCTGTCATACACAGTGTATCTTTATCCTAAAACTAAGGTCACCGAGTCATCGAAGTTCTGCAAGTAACGAGTTGGACTTTGGATTTGGAAAATATACTCCATGACCTTCTCTGCACTGAACTTTTTCTTGCTGGCTTCTTCCACCCAAGGCAGGTGATTCACTACTGTGCTATAGCCACTTGCCTGCTTGGAAATGAAATGTTCCCAAGGGACACGTTACTTCACACTCTTTTCTCCTATTGATTGGGTGCCCGCCATGGTCTCCTCAGCGGCAAGAAGGCTGCGTGGACTGGAACTTGGGACTGTTGGCTTTCCCATTTGGGAGGCCTTGCGTGGCTCTTGCTCTGGATTGGGTGTCTGGCCTAAAGTGGGAAACAAGGAGAAGGTTTCAAGATAATTCTGTTTATGCCAGTGTTGTCCAAACTTGGCCACTTTAAGATGAATGGACTTCAACTCCCAGAATTCCCCAGCCAGGCTGGAAGGTTTCAAGATAATTCTGTTTATGCCAGTGTTGTCCAAACTTGGCCACTTTAAGATGAATGGACTTCAACTCCCAGAATTCCCCAGCCAGGCTGGAAGGTTTCAAGATAATTCTGTTTATGCCAGTGTTGTCCAAACTTGGCCACTTTAAGATGAATGGACTTCAACTCCCAGAATTCCCCAGCCAGGCTGGAAGGTTTCAAGATAATTCTGTTTATGCCAGTGTTGTCCAAACTTGGCCACTTTAAGATGAATGGACTTCAACTCCCAGAATTCCCCAGCCAGGCTGGGGAATTCTGGGAGTGGAAGTCCATTCATCTTAAAGTGGCCAAGTTTGGACAACACTGGTTTATGCCAATTGCTAAATGGCTACCTGTCCTTCTCTTGGCCTCATTCTATGCAAACTGCCCCGCTCTTTTCCTTTTGTAAAGAAAATTCCTCTCTTTCCTCCCTGTTCCAACTCCAACCATTTCCAATGGTGAATCTAGAACAAGGAATCACAGAGACAGACAGTGGACGCATCTAAGACATGTCTACGATAAAAGCATGCTCTTTTGACAGAATTTTAGGAATAATACAGGATGGCTGCATGGCGTTTATGCAGACTAGAAACATTACAGCTGTGAAGTAGGAATAGGAATTTTGATCCATCATCTCACTTTCTTTTCTGTGGCCAAGCCTCTCCCATCTGGAAGCACCAACAGTTTATCCTTAGTTTCACCCTTTCTGCTCAATCTTCTCAAACTTTATTTTAATCAACCCAGAATTCCATTCTTTACTCCTCTACTCAATAAAGTTTAACATAATTCTGAGTATTTGGGATTCAAAACCAAGCTATTCCCCTCCCACCCTCATCGGGGGAGGAGGGGAGAGGGAGGGAGGGAGGGAACTCAGTCCAATTTAATTTGTCTTGCTTCATTCAGTTCATGGACAATGGTCTCCAGTCCATTCTGACACTATCTCTAGAGGTTCAGAAGTTCTGCTATCATATCACCATCACTTCTCTTTTAGATCTCTTGGCCCTTTTCCTTCTGTTGCAAGATCTTTTAATTCTATCCCTCACAAATGTCAGTGCTCACAGATGTTCATAACTAGCTCTACGACCATCTCCGCTACTTTGATTTTGTTGTTGTTGTTATGGTCCTTCAAGTCAACCCTGACTCCTAGTGACTGCATGGACCAGTTTTCTTGGCAACATTTTGGGAAGTGGTTTTGCCAGTACCTTCTTCCTGGGGCTGAGGGAGAGGGACTGGCCCAAAGTCACCCAGCTGGTTTCTATGCCTAAAGCAGGACTAGGTATCCCCTTTAAGCATTACTGTATACCAAACTGGCTCTCTTTTTCTGCTTTTGGCCTCCAGCAAATGAAGTTCAATATAGTTAGTAAACTCAGTCAACAGAGAACATTGTAATCTTATTCAATAGCGGGAGTGGGCCACCTAAGATTAAGGATCCATGGCCTCCCTAAACTTGTTTTCTGAGCCCCTTCCAAACTTTTCTTTTTTTGGTGCCTTTGAGTCAGTTGACTCCTAGGGACTGCCTTGGGCAAGACTCTGCAGTCTCCTTGGCAATGTTTTCAGAAGGGGTTGGCCACTGTCTCCTTCTTCCTAGGGATGAGAGAGAGGGATTGTCCCAAGGCCACCCAGCTGGCTTTGTCCCTAAGGCAGGACTAGAAATCAGAGTTTTCCAGTTTCTAGTCTGCTGCCTTAACCACTACAAACTGTCTCTCTCTTCCAAACCTAATTGCCGAAAATCAACAAGGAAAATCAATAAGTCCTAAAATAAATTTCACATAAAGAAACACCCTAATGTTCCTCCCAAATCTAGGATAAAATTTAAAAAGCCTCTCTTCTGTCCCCTTTGTCTCATCACCCTGCACACCACAACCCTTGCTGTTACAACTAAGATGCTATGTTCAGCCCCCAGGCACCAGGAGGTTGCTCATGAGAGACCTTCAGAACAAAGCAAGCACAATTTTTTCCTCCATTCTCAGCAGCTCTTCCCTTTCAGAGCCTTCTCTGCACCAGTTTACCTTTTGTGCCCGCACCGGTTGATGTCTGGTTCTCCAGAAGTGACTCAGGCTGCTCTGACCATAACGTGTAATCAGGGTTACTGAGGAAACGCTTCCTTAGGCCACAGTTCAGGCACCGCACAACAGTCCACCGCTGATGACGGCGCTCTAGTTGGAAACATGGGGAATGAATCACCCACAGGAGCCTGGAACAGAAGATTTGCCTTCCCTTCCCACTGCTCCCCAACCATAATGGAATCACTAGGCCAGCTCCCTAAGTTTCCTCGGCAGCTTCATTTCTCTGATTCTAAGTCAAAAAGACTGTATTGTACAGTCTAGAAACAGAATGTGAACAATTTATTGCAGGTGTCAGGTCTGGGCTGTAAAAGCTAGAAAAGCTAAGAAAACAAACATGTTGGCTTTGGAAGACATGCAAACACAGGAGGGTTTCCAGCCATCACCTTTTTCAGCAGCCTAATGCTGTTGAGTTGCAATGTTAGGCCATTAGAGAAGACGTGGCTTTGTGGTCATCAGATGAAACGAGAAATCAAAGTGGGAATGCAGGTCACACCCACCAACTAAGGAGGGGCTCAACACAATGTAACATGAAAGTATAGTCAACCTGTGCAGAAGAGCCAAAGAGGAACTATTCTCTGGCTAGCCTAAGTGTTCCCAATTTGGGGTCCAAGGATCATTGTCATCCACTGGGAGTTAGGGGAATGAAGCTAATATAATCTTGGGTACTTCTTTTGGTGTTACATTATTACTTGCATTGTAATTTGCTTTTACAAGCTGCAGGTAAATGTACTGTGAGCAATACAGTAATTTGTGAATGAATGTAAGTTCTTCGCTGTATTTTAGCGTCTTTCGATCTTTGATTCCCACCCGCTAGAGATTATATTCATGTAGAGAGCCATGGAGATGGCCTTTCAAGGGATATTCAGAAGTTTTTATAGGGGCTGGTTAATTAATGGTCCACAGTATCTGCTCAGCTGATTCGATCTTGCAGGATTGGCGCGCTCTGGGTGCCTTCAATTAAACAATGTCATCTATCGGGACCCAGAAGCGCACCTTCAATGGAGCAGCGCCTACCCTCTGGAACAAGGTTCCCCCCGAGATCCAGATGGTCCCCACTCTGCTGTTGTTTAGAAGAGCCATGAAGATGTGGCTCTTTACCTGGGCCTTTGGCGAGGGACAGGGAGATCCCTCGCTTCTTTCCATCTGGTCTGGCACGCTTGCCATCTTTTATCTTTACTGATTTTATTGTAATTTCTTTGATTTTTGGTTGTCCAGAGTCATTGGGAGTCAGGCGGCCTACAATTTTTTTTTTTATTATTATTATCATCATCATCATCATCATCATCATCATCATCCTTCCTTCCTTCCTTCCTTCCTTCCTTCCTTCCTTAAGCCGTGGGAAAGGAGGTAGTTGTAGAAAGAGGCTCAGGCTGGCTCCCTCTTGACTCAGTGGGGTAAAAGAGGGATGGGAGGAGGAACACAAACAGACTTGCAAGAATCTGTTACTATAACCGGACACAATAAAGTTTAATTCTAGTCTTCCGGTGGAGTCAGTTTCCTGATCTGGTCTACCTCATATGGCTGGTAATAAAGGATGTTTAAAATGGTTTGACTATATGAACACCCACAAAAACTTTTGATGATAATCTAGTGGTTTACATAAAGGAAGAGGCTGGGTATCACTGGGCTATGAGAAGCACTGGGGGATTCTGCAGAGCTGATGTTACTTTTGAAGCTAGCAAGACCTGCTTGCATACAATTTAGAGGCTGCATTCAAAACATGTTTATCTTGAGGACTGAATTAACCCTTTTTTTTTCTGGATTCACACAATCTATTAAATTGGGATTGCACAACACCAAGACAGCCAGCCAACCCATCCCAGACACTCCCCAAATTCTCAAGTTTACTAAGTTGGGTGCTAGGTTAACCTGGTTTAACTGACCTAATTAAGAATCTTGGGTGAACATAGCCACTTTCTCCTTACTGCTTTTCCCAACGATTCTGTATGTTCTATGTAGCTATACATAAAGATAGAATCAATCTTAAATCTCCTCTTTTTGCTCCCAAAGAACTGATCAAATGAAGCCTGCCATGGGCTTTCAACTGTTTGGGGGAAGAGGCACTAGTAAAACAGTGTGTAGACCCAGAAAAGCCACACAAAGAATCCAGATGTTTACCTCTCTTGTGCAGATGCCAACCTATTCTGTGTGAAACAAGGTGCCAGTAGGAATGGATCCAAGGATGAAGTGGACAAGAAGGCATCACAAGGCTCAGCGGTAGTCCCCAGGTTAAAAATGCCTGGGTTACAGACAACCACTAGTTAAGAACGGAGCCTATTGTAACAAAATTCAAGTTAAATACACAATGATTCAAGCTAAATATACGATGGTTTGAGTTCATTATGCTATACTACTTGTACAGTATTATACAATACTGTTCCAGCTTACATACAAATTCGACTTATGGACAGATCTTGGGAACGGAACTGTTCTTAAACTGAGGACTACCTGTATATATATTCTCAAAGAAGCTCAGAGCAAACCACATCTATAGATGGCACTGGGCAAACTCTGAGCCTTTGATGTCTCTCTTCTTCACCTCACCTTAGGTCCATTTACCCCAAAAGGGGACGACTGCACCAGACTCACCAGCCTCCTCTAGAGCAAGAACAACACCAAGAAGCATCCAGACAGCATTACAAAAGAGGAGAAAAAGAGGGTGATACTGACTTCTTTGGCGAACAGTTGAGCTGACTCCAGGGACAAGAAGGGAGAAGCAAGATTTGCAGATGGTCCTTTTCACAGAGGAGTCCCTGCACACAGAATCAGGCAATCCATCAATTTGTAGCACTTTTCCAAGTGGCCAAAATACTTTACATAGATAAGGCTTTCCTCCTGGGAGGCAAGACATTATCACTAATTTATACACTAGGAAGGAGGACGATAGCCAATTTATTTTCATTCATTTACTTGCATTTTACTCTTCAGACATGCTGTCTGAAGTAGTGTACAATGTTTTCCAAATGGGCACTCATGCAGGGATATGTCTGACCCAGCACATATCAGCATCAGCAAAGTTATTTCATAAAATGACTTGCTACGATGCATGCATTGTTTAAAATTAGAAGTGGGAAGTCTTTCAATTGGGACAAAGGTGCTTTGGATCCTGCATGAACATCATTGCTATACTTATCACTTTGCTCTCTCTTGATCCAAATAGTCCTTGCTTACCAACCACTCGTTCAGCGACCATTCAAAATTAGGATGGTACTGAAAAAGGAAACTTACAACCAGTCCTCAAAGTTCCGGCTGTCACAGCACTCCCACGATCACGTGGTCGCGATCCGGGTGCTCGGCTAATGATTATGATGTTGCAGGGAGCCATGTCATGTGATCGCCATTTGCGACCTTCCCTGCTAGCTTCCCACAAGCAAAGTCAATGGGGAAGCCAGCAGGGAAGGTCACAAGTTGCTCCAAGGTGTCACTCGCACCCTCCCCTGCCCAGCAGAAGCCACTCCCAACCCTGCTGCAACTGCACTGCATCTTACCTGTCTGCCAGCCTGCTTGCAAGCTACCTGGGGCTCACTTAACAACCCATGATCCTCACTTAACAACAGCAACGGGGACTGCTGGGATTGCCATTGCTAAGCGATGTGGTCAGATGGTGACACACTTTACAGTGATTTTATTAAAGATTACAATTTACAACAATAAAAACGAATACAAACTACAAAAAATAAAAGAAGAAAAAGAAGAAATAAAAGGCGCAGAAAAGAAAAAAAAGAGAAAAAATAGAAAAACAGAAAAATCTCACTCCTAAATATGGATGTAGCGTTAATATTTACAAAGTGTTCCCCATAAAGAATATGAGAATAAATAAAGCATTAATGATCCATGACAGATTACAAGTAGGTTTTAAAGAAAAAAAATAGGGAACAAGGAGCAAGTAGGTTCAGAAATGGGAAGAAAAATTGCTCTATCTGTTGCTGGACTAGAAACAGGATCTTGACCCTAGAAATTAGAGGCTTTATACCCTGTTTATGCCTTTTGCCTCCGACAAAAGATGGGTACTCACTGTCTCAAGACAAGCCTGCGGCTGATGCTGTTCTGGGTGTGACAGTAGAAACGAGCCAACTCTTGGTTATTTGGGTTTTGTGCGAGCACACAATGGGCGGCCTGTGGCAAGAAACAGAGACATCCTTACCACCTCCCAGAGAGCCAAGCCAAAAGGCATCCGAACCCCCCCCCCCCCCCCCCCC